GCTTTCTGAGACTGCCTTGAGCCCCTAACGGCAAGAGTAGGTGTATACCAATACTCGTAATTTTTGACCTTACTCCCGGACTGCCAGCCTGTACTCCAAGCAGCGGAGCAGAATGCTGGGGATGTGGCAGTGGGGAGGACCACCACAGCTTCCTGCCCAGTGACACTCAGAACCAGCATGTAGTGACTTCTCCCCAGTACTCAGGTCCCTCTGAGCTAGGGACAGGCTGCTCTGCACCAGCCCCCCAGCTGCCTGCACTCCCACATATTCATTGAAATAGATGCCACAACAGGCTGGGAAACCCTGGCATTCCTTGGGACACCACAGTTGTGTAGGCCTGGGTTTTAAGCAAGCATTTTCTCCTTTGATCAACATCCATGTTCTCCTGTTTTCTCTTCCCTCTCTACATCTCCTTTCAAGATCTGTTTTTATTTAACCCTGAAATGCAAGGGGAGTAATCTAGGTCAAAAAAAACCCCAAACCGGTGAAAAACACAACAAAGGACCCTCTCCCTATTCCATCTTCAGACACTTCTGCAGCTGCCAGAGCGGTTTTATTCCATTGAAAGCCACAAACTGGCCTGAATTTGCTAAAATACTGGGTTAGTGCACATGAAACCTTCAGCATGCCTGTGAACTGCCCTGCAGCTCAAGAAATTCAGGACTGGTCTGTCTGTTTTCCCCCCGGAGCCCCCCCAGTTTGCTGCCAGTGCTGTTGTGAGCCCCAACATCGCCCCTTCGTGGCTGGAGCTGTCCTTTATGTGGCTGGGCCAGGGGCCCCTCCAGCTGCTCTCTAGCACACTGAAACTGAAAAGCACTGGCATGTTTACAGAAAGGGGTGGGCTCCCCCTGTCATCCCACCCTCTCCCCTTAAATTCCAGTCGGAGCAGGTCAGACCAAACAGGCTGTGTGTGCTCCAAAACAGACTGTGCCTACACCACCCTGCATCCAAGCCTTAGTCCTCAGTGGCGAGGAACTGCAGCTGATCACACAACTCTTTTATGACATTTTATCAGCTTTCATTTTGATCTCTGAAAACCAAGGTTGTGCTTAGGTCTGGGACTACCTTCTCCTGCAGGCAGCATGGTACAGCAGCCTCAGTGCATACGTGTGTGGGGCAAGAGCAGTGACAGAGCAGGGCAAAAGCGCCTGCAGCACACCTTTGCACCTCCTTACACTCCTGGCAGGACCGTGCTATACATTACACCAGCTACACAGCTGCTTTATTCTGCTTTCTGCAGCAGGCAAGAATACTCAGCACACAGCCACCTCCCAGCCTCAGTGCGACTGGCACCTACTTTCTACCTGAAGACTGCTAGAAGTGTGGACAAGTGCTTTTCCCCACATATCCGTGGCTGGGATCCCTTTTCCCTTCCTCTATCCCAGTGTGAATTGCCAAGGAACACCACCAGCCAGCGTGGTAGAAACACAGAGCACTCAATGACTTGTTCAGGATTCCATTTCTCCATTGAAAACTTTCTTCCTCCCTCCCTCCCTCCCTCCCTCCCTCACCCCCCGCATTCCCCACTCTCCCAAGAAGCTCATGGCTCCTTTATCGGAATCAGTCAGTGCAAGCTGCTGGCTGACACAAACCAGACGGCCAGCATCCGCTGCAGACCGGGACAAAAGATGGAAGCGAAAGATATAATGGAGCACAGCTGGCTGATAAGCATGTTTAAATTTTACAGAGATTAGCTGTGAGAACAGGAAGGAGTTCTTTCTCTCCCTCCTGTTTGTTTAGCTTTCTTTAATTGTTTATTTTTAGGATGAAAAACATGCCCATGCAGACTTATCAAGCAAGTCAAAGCAAGGCGGAGGGAGAAACGCGTCTCATCAGAGCCATGAAGGGCCCATGGCAGGCGAAAGCAAGCGGGACTCTGGCTGTGCTGGAGCCACGTCAGCCGGCGAGGCGCTGCGGCTCAGCCCCTGGGTCCGCCTGGCTCCCCTGGCTCTGCCGCTGCACAGCCGCCTCCTCACCCGCTGAGGGCATGCATGCGGCCGAGCTGGCGGCTTTCAGAGCTCCCCTCACACGGCAAAACCTTCCCCTTATTTATCTGGGCTGCCGGAGAGTGAATTCTAAGTACAGGCTATTCAGCAGCAAGCGTCTCCTAAAGTCCGTGAGTGGGTGTCGGTGCCTGGCTCCCACGGATGTAAAAACAAGCTCTGGAAAATAAGGCTTTTTGCAAGGGAACCAGCAAACAAAACACATTTGAAGGAAGAGCTGCACTTTAAGGGACCGATGCTGCTGTCACAGGATAAAATGTAAGTTTTCCTCATGTGTTTCACACAGGAGAGACACAGGTTACCATCAGCCACTAAACTGTCATCATAAAATAGGTGTTTCACTGCCCTCTCTCCCTTGTCTGCCCTAAATCTGAACCTGTCTCTGCTCAGTTTCCACACATGAAAACCTGCAGCCCATGCTGTGGATCCCCACCGGTGTGAAAACTGCAGGATCACATCAGTGGTATTATAACATCTCACCTCTCCCTCCCTTCTGACTGACAGCACACACAGGAGGTCCTGCATAACACACTTGTACAAAGATTAGGCCAGAAACTCTATCCAAGCTTCCTGTTCGCACCTGGTAATGCTATGAATTAAGAAAGAGGCCACAGGCTGAGCTGTACTCCGAGTATTTCATGTCCCCCTGGAGAAGCAAAGCTGTGGTAGAGCTGGGTTTCCTACAGCTGAGCATCCCAGGGTGCTGCCAGGCAGCCAGAGGTGTGGCACTGTCTGTCATCACCCTTTGCTGGAACAGCTACAGCTTGGGCAATCATCACGTTTTGGTCCAGGTCTGAAGGACTATTCCTTCACTGGTCCCAAGAGGCTGAGCCAAAACCAGAACAGGAGGGTAGTTCTGTGGTGCACCCCTCTTACCCTACCTTCAAAGTAGTACCAGCATGGAATGGAGAACAAAACAGAGGCATTGAGGTCAAGCATGCTCTCTCAACAGTCTTCACTGGGGAAAAGGTTTTCTCCGTTTTTCAGAATATATTAAGAGACCATTGCACTAACATGTGGACAAACAAAGTGCAACTGATAGAAACAATGTGCTTCTTGTGTTCTAAGTGCTTGTTCACATGAGCCATCCTTTTGGACAGCTACATGGGCTTGTTTGCAAGACTGGCAGTGCAGAGGTACAGAAACCAGCTGTACTCATAAAGCCTGTTAGATGTGTTGAAGCCTGACAATCCCCAGGGCTCAGCTGAACACCAACCTGCTGCTTCCCCCATCGTTCCCCTTGTTATCACCGCAAGAATTTTGTTTCAAAAACATTCATGGACAAATGACCTTTCCTTTTCTGATTAAAAAAGCCCACCAAACCCTCCAGAAGTGGATCAATACCTCTGAAGAGCCTATGGTTTGCTCCAAAAGTCCCTCCAACGCAGTGATACGAACTTGTGTCAGTCCCAGAGGTGCTGCAGCCCCCAGAGGGCTGTGCTGCTCAGGCTTCACCAGCCATGTGTCCGGGTGGGAATGCTGGGTGGGGATCCATAGGGTGTCTGGGTGGGAATGCATGGGGGGCCAGTGGTGGTCTGGCTAATGCCAGCACTCCCCCAGCACAGCACAACTCCCAGGACACTGCCAGCAGTGCAGGAATTTAGCATGCTCTTTGCCTTTGATTGCAGAAACAAATTGATGATTTATTTCAGTAGGCAAAGCAACTGAAGCCTCCTAGGTAATTATAATCAGCAGTAAAACACAGTGTGTGCCCTGAAAAACATCCTATCTAAATATACATATTATCCAAAATTATTACAAAGCATTTTTTTGCTGTCTAGGTTCATAAATGGCAAGTATTTTAATAATCACCTGAAGTACTTATCAAAGATTTAAAATGTCAAAAGGAATTTCAGGTACTTTGTAAATACCTATTTTCTGTAAAAATCATGCTTTTATGACAGCTCATGTAAGACAGAAATACAAATGCACTGTATACATAATTTGAAGGCCTGAATATTCCCAGTGTGTATTTTTACATTTCTACATTTAAAAACATAAAACAGGATGAATCAAATTCGCATACTGATGGTTCTTAAGTGCTTTGTTGCAGTGGCTGTCTCAGAATCCAGAATATATTAATTTGATAACATAGACTGACCTTTTTCTTTTCCAGTCATGGGGATGAGATGGAAGGAGCATATTTGTGGTACCAAAGGTGAAGGATAGGCACTGATACAGGAAAAAAAAGCTTAACTTAAATCAAGAAAAGCACCAACATGGCTGCTGTGATACCTGATTTGTTGCCTTCACACAAATCTACACATAGGAGAAACAGCAGTAGGAGCAGTGGTGCTCTGCACCCCAGCATGCGGGAAACAAATAATTGGACTGGCTAGATAATGAGGTACAATGACTAATTATTCTATTTATTTTTTTTCACTGTTTTTAAATAGGTCACCTCTTTCCTCTCTGACTCTGAATCGAATTTTCCTCCGTGCTGACTGCCAAGCATGTGACTCCTAGATGCTGTAAAAGAGAAAGCAGCAGCAGACCCCTGGGGTACAGAGATATTACAGCAGCCACGCAACACATTTCTGCATTCAGAAAAGCTTTAGCATTGGGTCAGGCAACAGCTACTAAGCAAGGACATATGAATGTTTTTTTTCATGTTGTCAGAAGAAAATATGGAACTGATAAGAAACACCTGTGGAAATGCAAAGCCATCTCAGAACCCAGGGTTTGTTTAGATGATAAAGAGATAAAATCTGAAGGCATGTATTGCAAGGGAAGATAATCTTTAACAGAATGTCTGTTTTGAAAAAAAAATAAAGAAAGAAGTGGTATGTTTCAGGTAATTGGCTTTCTGTGCAAAGAAAGGTCCTTGAGGATCATAAGGCAACATTGGTGCAATATGTAAAACTGTTTGAGCTGCATGGATGCTGTCCATTCATTTTTCTTCATGGAAACATGATGCCGTTTACATTTTATTTGCATCTTGTAAATATTTTCTTAGAACCCCAGCAGGACACTGGAAAGCATAAAAGCATACATTACCAGCTGAACATATGTAACCAGCGTTTTCTCTTTGCTTGCAGCTCAGCCTGTTCCATGGGCTCCGATTTAAAGCCCTGTAATATACCACATAGGAATTCTGTTTAGCTACATTTAACATTTTTGAGGGAAAGTTTGTCAGATCATTTGTTTTACTTAATGCATACGTATTTTCATGCCTTTGTCCTCCTTGATGTCAAATAAGCATTTTTTAAAGGAAGTCGATCTCAATATTTCTTTTCATAATTTGGAAAAGATACAGTATTTAAATACTGAGAAATGTGCAGTACAGTGTGGATTTAATGGAAACATTTCCACAATTCTACACTTATGTTGTGGCATTAAATCAGTCAGAAGACAGAGGCAAACTGCCAGGGTGTGCAATGCCCAGAGGAGGAGGCAGTTCCAGTAATAATTTTAGAGACTGTAAAGTGACTCTAAAATGGAAATATCAGCAGCAGCTCTAGGAGGGCTCAGCTGCACGAGATGCACAAGCGCATGCCCAGTTTTAAACACACCAGTAGCTCCAAAATCAATGAGACCACCCACAGGTTTACAATCCTTTGAAGAATTGAGCCCTTAATTGCTCGTAACTGCTGCAAAAAGACGTCAAGTTTCCTTTGTTTTCCTTATTATTAAAAAGAGCTTTGCCAACATAAAACACTGGAGGAGCCCAACCCAAACCAAATGGATAAAGTGAGGAGCCAAAGCAGCCTCGCAGAAAGGCTGCTTTTTTGCTACAATTCTCCTGTTTCAGCTTAGGCTGAGTTGCTCCTCCTGCTGTGGTCCGCACTCAGCAGCACTTTAGGCAAGACCACCAAACTACAGTTGCTTCTGCCTTTGGACAATGAGAAATTGACAAGTCCAGAAGGTTTGGCAATAACTTTCTTTGTATACAAAGTCCTACTGAACAACCCTCTGATAGAAAGGAGTATTATTTTTGTAGCAAATCTTTTTAAGACCTACTTGGGATGCCAAGCACCTTTGTCTGCCAGGACGTTTCACAAACTCTGTTACATGTGAGGCACATGAACTTTAACGAGCTGATCCTTTTGCAGTGTCCGAGGCAGGGAAGTGTTAATATCTCTGCTCTACAGAGACAACCGATCTGCAAGGGGTCAGAAACGTCAGCTGCAGAAAATCTTGAAAGCTAAGCTAACTTTATTGGAGTTGTGCTGATTTATACCAGCTGAACATATGGCCTCAGAAGATTAAGTAGTCTGTGTGAGAAATCTGTGGCACATCTGGGACACTCCAGGGCCTGAGTCACAAGATCATCCTTCCTGCCCATAACAATTGCAAACATGCCTCTACTACACAGGAGCCTCTGCAAACTTTTTTATTGACCTCCTGGCAAAGCAATAATGAAATTGTTTGAATGACTGAGCCCAGGGAAATTTGGGGTTAGCTTATGCTGTTAACAAAACCACTTTCTCTGATTTCTCTGTGCATTACACTATTTTGTACAGGTAAGCCAAAACTATATAAAGTGTTGGATTATTATACTTGCAGTAGAGAGAATACCGTCGTATTCTGAACAGAGACATAGCAGAAGGAATTTGCAGTCCAACATGGGGGAAGAATCTGTCAAAATCTCACAAAATGGGATCTGGGTTTCCTTTTTGCCTCAATCCTGTGCCATACTGGGTAGGAGTAGTTGAGGACTAACACATCACTGCAGAAGTATTTCCCTGTCTATGCTTTTTTAGCATCAAGGGATTTATGTCAGAGTAATGGCATACACATTTCCCTCACTATCTTTTGCTCAGGCAATAGGGAATTTCTGGAGATATACAAAAGATCTAATTAAAGTCACGTAAATGTTTTAATTGGCTACTAAAGCATGATCATTTTGTAACTGGGACAGCTATTTTGGCCACAGTAATATTTAGTTAAATATTGTTCCAGGACAGGGGGAAAAATAAAAATTAAAACTTATCCAAATATTTTATAAAAAAATAATAATAAAAACAATTGGAACAAAGCCTGCACAGTTTGGGGGGAAAAAGTGAAGCTGTTCACCTGCAGGCTCTGACTGATATTTGGGACACTGTGATAATGCAGGCTTGGCTTCAAAATGATACAATGTCAACTATTCACAACCTTCATGTTACAGTGCTAATTTCAGATAATGGTACTGCTGAGAAAGGTAATGGCACCCCTTGGTCAAAAGAAACAGAACAACACAATGAAAACTAATTCAAAACTTGATTTATTACCACAATAATTAGTAAAAGTTTTCATATTGAGGGGATCAGTATTGCAAATGACATGAAAAAGACATTGAACAATGCTGCACAGCATTGTACTTACCAAGGGGAAAACTGGAATTGAACTGTATTTTTAAAAAGACCAAAAAAAAGAAAGAACAAAAAACAAAAACAAAAAAAGAGAGAAAAAGTAATAAAAAACAATAATTAATACACACCCTACTCTGGAAAATTAATGAAAAATGTAATTAAATTACTCCAGAAGTTAAGAAACACAAAACCACTTCCTCAGTTTTCAGAAAAAAATGACACACAGCAAAACTTTTAGAGGGCTAATAACATTCTGTGGGCTATTTTTATCCTAACCTTATGAGTGTTTATTTTAGAAGGGTTTATTTTTCATCAGACTTTGTTAAACTACCTGACGAAAAAGGGTAAACATTGTGACCCTCAATAAGGAAGGGGAAAAAAAAAGGAGAAAATTTTGCTTAGCATCCATTTTCCTGCTGTTATTGAACAAGGAAGCAACATCTGTAAGCAGTTTCTCGAGCGCTCTGTGTAACCCAGCACCACCACCTGCTGTTTGGGAAGGAAGGCTCCATTCCCCTTGTCCCACACATCAGATCTCCAGCACCATGGAGCTGAGGAGAAAGCACTCCTTTAAACATTTGAAGATGAGGAGGAGGACAAAGAAACAACACAACAAAGCTCCCACCCCAGCACCACACCGCAGCAGCGCGTGGGAGAGGCAGCTCTGCGCGTTTAAACCACAGGGCGATTCCTGCTCAGAAAGGGGGTGAAGGAGCTTAGCTGGTCGCAGCAGCCATAACAGCTGGCTCTTCTGACCTCTTGGCAAGGGCTACCCACAAAATCTTTATAGACTTTGGCACTGCATATGACTTGCCTCACGGGTGCTGCCTGTCTTCCCCCAGATCCTAAAGTTGATTGGAAAGAGAGGTGCTGCAGGCTGCATTTTGGCCCTTCTGGCTATAGTGGGCTGCTGAAATTTCCTTGCATGATGCTTTCTCAGTGATGGTCAACTGAATACAGGCCTCCCAGGTTTATACATATGGAAAACAGTAAGGTATAAAGCTTTTCCTTCAAAAAAACCCAGTGAGAAAGTCCCTCATTCCTTCCAATGGGTGTGATGGAAAAGTGAGCCTGTATCATTACCTTTTAATTAATAATAGACCAAAACCAAAGAAAATTGCAGCCAAGGGTGCTCTAAGAAAGCCAGAAGAAGATATTCAATACCAATCTGCTGCCTGTATTCAAAACTGCAGCTAAAAGCTGTGTCAGCCACAACTGAGAATTTGACCAGATTCCACACTGCAGGAATAACTGAATTACAACCCATGGGAACAATTGTGGGGGAGCCATGCTCCATTCACACTGTTAAATCACAGCCCAAAAACTGCTAGGTTATTTTTGGGCTTTTTCCCCCAGCTTTCCCTTTAGACAGGTAAATCTCCAGCTTGGTCTAACTGCAAGTCTAATCCTTCCCAGGACCAGTGCTCTGTCTTATATCTTGTGCAGATGTGAATGGAGTGTGCTCAAATGGGCATGTCACTGATTAATGGCAAAGAGTGCAATTCTTAACAGATAGTGAAGTATCCCCCAGCTGCTAATCAGTACTCTCAATGGTCTGTGATGTTAAACATGTGCATTTCTGTGGTACAAGGCTCATGAAGCTCCAAGCTTGTGGTGTCCAAAATTCTCAGTTAACCCAAAGAGGAAAGGGCTTGGGTGGATGAGGGGTGTGTGTGTGCTGGTTTTTGTTGGTTTTTTGTTGATGTTGCCTCTCCCCAAAATGAGAATTTGCTCATGCTTTAAGGCTGCTCTTTCTGCATTGTCTGTTCCCATTCAGCTCCTAAGCTGAAGTGTTGAGTTTTTAGTTTATTTGTGTGCCCAGTGCACACCTGGGAGCTGTAGCACTAAGCTTATTATCGGGTTGATGCAGGTTACATTTTCACCCTTGTCTGGTCTGGAATCCCTGGGCTGCTGCATGAAGCACAGTGCAGCCTGATTACCTCAAAACATCCTGGCCTTGGAGGCTTCAGTTTGAAATTTCTGCCACCCCTCATTTCCCTGCCCAATTAAACCATTAAAAGTGCTGATGGCAATTTTAAAACTAGAGGGGGGTTTTGTGTTACTACCATTTTTATTTTGCTTGTTTGATTGATCAATTGACTGATTGATTGAGCAGGGGTTTTTTTATACAAAATGGAAAAAAAATGTACCTTCTGCATCAACAGAATGTACTAGAACTTGGAGCTGGACTGAGTGGGTGGTACTAGAGCTGGGGGAACAGGCACATAGGACACTGCCTGTCCCACCACTGCAGATGTCAGCCAGAAACCTAGACAAGCAGAGAAAAAAATGTCAGACACATGGATTGTAGTCCCATTTTCAGGCTTTTTTTGTGCCTGTCTCTGCTGCAGGGATGCACTGTGAATGTAGTCTGACACAGCAGCCATCGGAGTTAGGTGGGGAAGGCTTTATATCCACCTGATAGCTGAGATACAGATCAAAAAAGGATTGCTTCCCTCGAATACTGATTCACAAACACCTGAGCCAATGTTCACCTTCACTAACTCCAGGGACTTATAGAAAGGGATCAGTTCTTAAGTAGTAACTTGTTTCTTTTGGCTGAAAAAGAGCTGAAGAGAATTGCTTTTAAATGTAGGTGTCCCTGTGTGTGCTTCTGTTCAAGTACCCTGAGGTTGGAGGCTACATCACTTTTGGCTACATCAAATGGCTACAGGATCAGAGAGAACACATAGATGTTGAAACTGTCATGTGTGTAAAATGAATACGAAACTAAATACCTAAAAATGTATCTGAAGTTTACTGAGAGCTAAATGAAT